CTTCCTAGCACTTGTGAAGAGTAGTTGGATCAGATTGGTCAGACTTGCCAACTTCTTGATCACTTTCAATTTCAGGTATAGAAACATTTTCTTCAATACCAGTTTCATCTACTACAGGTATAGGAGTATCTTGCTCAATTTGAAAAGGCTCCACCTCAATTTGAACATCTTTATCAGTTAATACATTTTCTTTTCCTTCTAAACATAGCATTGAAGATTTATTGAAAATAACATCTTTTCTAACAGTGACTCTATACCCCTTTTCACATTTTACCCATAATCTGTCCTCCAACATTTACATCATAACCCAAGAAAACACATTAAAGTGATCTAGGTTCTAATTTTCCAATGTTTTGATGAATATATGTGTCACAACCAAACACTTTTAGGTGGGAATAATTCACATAACTATTAGACCAAACAGATTCAAGTACTTTCAAATTTAAAGCTTTGGTAGGACTTCTATTAACAAGATATGCATCAGTTTTAACAGCTTCACCCCAAAAATTATTAAATTCATGATTGCAAAATTTAAAATCTTTGTCAGTCCTTAAAATTTTTTTTTATGATCAGTTTAATTTTCAATTTGAGTTTTCCAATCTTTAAAAACAGAAAATGTTTCATCTTTATTTTTTAATAAAAACAAATCCAAAATTTCCTCGAAAAATCATCAATGATCAGTAAATAATATCTGAAACCAAATAAAAGTGCACACATCAATAGGATCCCACAAATAAGCATGTAAATATTCCAATATTTTTTTGAATTTATGAATTTCAGTTGGAAAATGTAGTTTGACATGTTTGCTTATTACACGTTGTTCACAAAAACCAAAATCGCCAAGATTAGTTTTTCAAAAACTCCTTCTAAATGTAAAGAATTCAAACTCTTTTTACCAATTTGGCCAAGCCTATTATGCCATAATTTTGCAAGTGTAAAGTTCTCAAATGCAGTAGAAGCAATTAAGTCAAGTAGGGGGTTTAGCTTTCAGAAAATAGATGTCATGTTTCTTAAGGGTGCTAATGATTAAATCATTGCCCCTGAGAATTTTAATATGTCCTTGATCAAAAATTATATCAACTAACATACCTAAGGACACCAGATTCCTCTTCAAATCAGGAACATACATAGTTCATTTTAGGAATAGAACATTACCATTATCCAATAACAATTTTACGGTACTTATCCCTCTAACTTTACAGGTAATATTATTTCCCTTTATTACTTGCCCTCTAGCAATTTTTTCAAAGTCAAGAAAACAATTTTTATTTGGGCACATATGGAAGGAACAACCTGAGTCAAGTATCCATTCATCACTCAGTTGCTTTTCCACATTAACAACGACTAGACCAGTTTCAGGCTTAGCTTTATTATACACTAAAGCATTACTCACACCATCAAACTTCTTTTCTTTTGAATCATTTTTCTTCTTAAAGCAATTTTTAACAAATTGACACAACTTCTCACAGTAATAACACTTCTTACATTTAGCCTTATTTTTGGATTTATTCTTCTCACTCAATTTATTTTTATTTTCAATGAAAGACTTAGAGTGATAATTTGATTTACCAAAAGCTTTTCCTTTTACTAACAAATTATCTTCATTTTGACTATTACTAGAATCGGCCATCATCTCTAAAGTCTTATGTCTTAGAGAATTTATTATAATATCAGTGGTAAGTTCTTCTCTGCCATACTCTAGAGCAACTTTGATATCTCTATATTTGTCACTAATGGAGTTTAACAAGACTATAGTCATCTAATCTTTGCAAGTTTTTATCACAGTTCGCCAAGTCTTACGTAAGTTTTGTAAATCTATTTAAATTTTCATCCAAATCAACCGAGGGATCTATTTTGAAAGAAAAATTTGTTTCAATAAGAAACATTTATTTGGAGTAATTTTTGTCACATATTTAGCATGAAACTTTGTCCACAATTCAGAAGCAGTTTTTGTTTCACCAATATTTCTTATCACATTTTCAAATAAGTACAACAAAATAGTATTCCAAGCAATTTCTTCAAGTTCAGTTTTTTTTGCTAGAAGTCAGCAAACCAACTATCATCTAAAGCCCTAACACGTCTCATTTGCATTATTGCCTTCATTTTTTGACTCCACATATTGAAATCACATTTTCCATCAAATTGACTAACTTCAAACTTAGCAGAAGCCATGTTATAAATAAGTATGACTCACAAATTGAAGACAATTTTCACATATGTGCAAAGAACAGTAAGAGTACAGATTGGTGTCACTCACAAATCACAATAATACACTTAGTAAAACAAGATTTTACAAATTTCAAGCACGCGCAGAAAATATGCAAGTCAAGACACAAAAGAAAACGAAATAACAAAGATCACAAGACTATGTTTCAGAAATTCATCCTTCAAGATCCTCCAAGTACACACATGTACTTGATTTATCTTAGATTCTCAGGCCTCTTAGGAGCCTTTAGACAAAGATTAATCTACATGGGGTTGTGTACGGTAAAGGGAAAAATCAAGAAACTCTAGTTCCTAGAAAGTGAACTTTGCAAAAATTTAGAAAGATCTCACCTAACGAGTTTAGAAAACTCGTCTTATTCCAATTTTGCTTGACAGCAATTCAAAAAAAATTTCAAATTTGTTGCAGATCAACCAGTTTCTCCAAAATCTAGGTATCTTGCTCCTTAGTAATGGCTCCGATACCACTATAAGACCAGGAACGCAGGATATTAACGTTAAGAAACAACAATAAAATGATCTTACAAAAATTAAAAGTGCAGAAATTAAAAACAACACAAGCGATTTCTTTCAGCCTAAGCCTCAGAGGTTCGGCGACCACTTCCAATGCCTACATCCCCCATTAAACATCCAGTAAATTTGATTATGCTCGATTTCACTATATAATTCAAAATGGCAACGAAAGGCTACAAATGTTTAATCAATACAAAGAGATAGTACAAGAACACTTATCTCTCAAAGACACAACGATCGATCTACAAAAAATCACCAAGAATCTTCACAAACCCACTGAAAATAGTAACTCAAGAGAACTCTAACTCTCTTACAAATATTCACTCAGAATATCACAAATCAGGGGCTAAAAATTACAAATCGTAAGTTTCAAAGCAGGAATTTGAGAGAAGAAGAACAAAAGAGAAAACCCTAAACAGACGAGAGAGCTTCTCTCAAAACCATAGTACTCAACAATAATGAAAACCCCTCAAGTCAGTACTAAGTGAAACGACACTAACAAAAAATAATAGAACCATCCACAAACCAGTGATCAACGGTCAAGATGTAATCACGTGTCCCAATCCAGTTAAAAACACGTCGTTAATAAAGTTGCATTTGTCATAAACACGACTTCAACACAAATTCTGGAAGCACCCATAATCGGACCAAGGTTCGAATCTTACATTTTTCGGTCATCACCATTGATTGGGAAGTGTCTTCGATCAATTGGCCTCACAGTCATGCAGACTTGTACTTGTATACCATTCTGTGTAATGAATGTCATTTAATACTCCATTTGTTAACATATTCTACCACTGCTCACGCTTTTTATGCACTACAGAATCATGCTACCGAGATGTCTATTTCAAATATCTAATCTAATATAATTAAATTGAAAGCATTTCGGGTCCGTTTGATTACAAATGTGGAAAATGGGTGGAAAGAAAATGTTTTACAGAGAATTGAATTGTTTAGAAATTATTTTACCGGGAATTGTAATTAATTGTGTTTGATTGGTATAATTTTTCACCCGAAAAATGTTGAAAGTTTGGTGTCCGGTTGACTTCATTTTTTATGAAAAGTGATATTTTTTTCTGCCATTGAGTCTAGAATTTATTCCAATTGCCCACAAAAAAATTAAAAATATTACCATACCGAATATCATTCGTTTAGCTTTGTTTTGCATGAAAATTATCCATTAAATGGAAAAAAAAAATTACCATTGTTGATAGTATTTTTCCAATTGCAAAAAAAGATGGAAAATCATTTTCTCACCAAAATGGTGGGAAAATCAATTCATTGATTTGAAGGAAAAAGTGAGTAGCGGAAAATTTTTGCAATCAAACAATGCAAAATATGGAAAATGGAAAATCATCTTTATCAAACAGGGCCTTCGTGATTTATAGAATCACTTAAAGCTCAACTTCTCGTTCAATCAACGCAATTATCTGCTCAAAAAGGAAAAATGCATCCTCGCTTTACTCCAATTAATCCATGTTTGAGCCACATTAAAATTTTCGTTCTTATTCTTCTACTCATTCTTAAATAAAATAATATTTTCCATCACATCAATAAATTTTCCTCATTTTTCAACCACATTCTCCATCAATCTACAATTCCAAAATACATTTTTTCAAACTAATGTGATTCAAACACACGCGCCCTACTCAAATTTTAGCTTTAGTGTCTCATAATCAATTCATATATGCCAAAGAGTGCATACGGAAAAGTTCTTGCGTAAAGATAATTGCTAGCTCATATATTATCAAAATTGCCTGGTTAATAAATACGAGGTTGTGGACTGACGTAAACCAAGATAACAGTTACGGCACGACATTTTTCCTAATGTAATCAATTTTAATTTAATGTTGGTATTTTAATGGCATCACTTACTAGCCTCCTCCCAACCAAAGACTTCTTTAACATACTTAGCACAGTTTTATGGATCATTTGAAAGTAATCTCTATCAAGTCTCAATTAATATTCTGGTCCTCTCCCTGCACGCAATAAAGGAATTATTACACAGGTTCTAACAATCTTCTTAAAATATTTGACTCAAGTTTTTTGTAAGAAAAACCTTAATACATCCAAAAGATAAGCACAACCTTGCCAACTTGATGGGTACAAGCAGAATGATTTTATCCATTGCATTGAAAGTATGTTTCACAAGTCTCTAAAAAGAGATGGGTACAGTGTGGTGGCAAGGATCTTCAACAAACTATTTAAGGTAAATCTAATTTGAATGGAATCTTGAAAAATACAGACCCGAGGGGGAAAAAAATTCACAAGCTTGATGTTTCATTAGGAGGCCCAGACCGTGTATTTAACAGAGGCTGGAGTGCTTTTACTACGATGCTCATGTTAGGACGGAAATCAGCTTCATATTGCACACACAAGGCAGCAACTGCAGCCATCTGTCATATCATGGACTGAACATTAACCAGTGCAACATGATAATAGAAATAGATAAACAAATTACAAGTCCTCATTGGCTAGATAATCATTACAAGATTGGATAAATGTAACTGGTGAAAAATTCACATAGAAACCAATCGTGAAACTACTTTATAATCATTCAGTTCAATACAAGTGTGGAAAGTTGCATGTTTTGTTGACACGAGGATAAGGGAATTATGAAGTTCAGTTCCATAGGAGAGACAGAACTAGCTTTAATTTGAATTCTCCTTATTTTGATTTCCATTTATTGTCTATAGGATTCTTGGTAAGTGTAAAATCTCCTAGCTCAATTTGTCTCATTTACTCGAATAAGAAAAAAAATTTGAGGAAAATTTTTGTTGTGACTACTGCAAGAAGCATCAAAACACCACATAAAAGCACTGGAAACAAATAGGGAAGCATCAAATCTGAATAATAACGTAATTTTGAAAGAAAGACTGGTCTTCAGGCTGTTTGTGGAAAATCTAATATTGGTGATTCTCAACCCTTCACGAAGGAACAGCTAGAGCTAAATTTAAGTATATAAACTAGCATAAACTGAAAAACCTACACTCTGATTCTTTTAGCCCAAAAAGGTAACTTCTTGATGGCCTCATGTAGCATCCAAAAAGGAGCTTCCTCGATCATGGATTAGAGAGCCACGTATCACAAGAATGTTCTTCCAAATCTAATTTCTTCCTAAAACACATGTAGCCAAAAAGTATATATCACTGATGGTTCCAGACCTCTGGTAGCAGGGAAAGGTTCTATTTGTATATCAAAAAAATTGAGTCTAAATTAACTTCTTTATCTTTCATACATATCCAGTAATCTCTTTTCCATTAGTAAATTTACCAAAACAAATAATGATTACAGTGTGGCTAAGTTTTCCTTCTCATTGAGAGTTTCAAGACTTGGTTTCAGGGAGGATGAATGAGAGTGCTAAGAAAGTACATAAACGAGCTCTAGTAGCTGACGTTGTAGATTGGGACATCCTAGTTCCCTTATCTAAAGATTTGTTTCCATTGTTATTAAGAAATGAAATCCTTCTTTCTAATGTTAGATTTGTAAATTATCAAAGTAACGTCAACATATTTTCCTTTAGGAATTCGCTCCATTTTCCGCAAGGACACTCATTTTTAGTCAGTTTTGGACCCCATGAGGTTCATAATGTTCATTTGTGATCATATCCTCTTCAACAATTCAAGCCTAATTTCAGGCAAGAATTCGTATCCTTAGAACAGATCTTGTATTGAGACTGGTGATACCCCTCAACAGAACAATATTGCTAATGAGAAAATAGGTATTTACTCAACATGGCTCAATATCTTATCTCCACAGCTAGAGTCCCACAAACTTTGTTGAGAAGTTGTTCTCACTGCTACATAGGATTATGTGGGGAATTCATTTCAAGATTCTCATGGATATCTTCAATGAATGTCGAATGATATTCGCTAACCAAGATCTCTATATCTCCTCCTCCAAAAGTTTTTGGCTACATAAATTACATTGTCTTAGTTCAAGAATCATGACAGGAGTAAGACCCTAGAGTTATCAAATGTTTTTTAGGGGTTACCTATAGAAAGCGTACAAATGCTATGATCCGGTGTCTAGATGGTTTTTCATGATGATGAATATTACATTGTTTGAAAATAAAGTACTATTTACCAAACTCCTCTATCAAATGAGAATTTCATATAAGATCAGTCTCAGGGATAAATTCCTTTGCCTGCTCCATCTTTTTTGCACCCAAATGTCTTACCAAGTACTCTTAGTCATTCTTTTTACTGTGCTCCTGGCGATTCCTTCTCTTTACTAGTGCTCCTATTTGTGTTCCAGAATATATTACTGTTCACGCTTCAAAATCCACTAGGATGCCATCAACTAAAGTAGGAAACAAATGATAGAAGCGCAAACTCAAAAGCCTGATCTGTCTACTCTAAAGCGCAGTCAAATCGAAGTCATAACATAGACTACTGTTGATCCTCAAACAAGATACTGCGTGTTGAAACTTATGAGTAATTATGATTCTAGTCCCCATACAATTTGAGCATCAATTTTGGAGTTTAGAAATGATCCCAACCTCCCAATTAGCCTCCTGAAAGGAACTAGATCGTGTACAGAACACCCTATTTCTAAAAATATCTTCTATCCCCGACTGTCAACCTCTTTTAGAGGTTTTACCTCTAACCTTCTTGTGCAGAGATTCCTAAACATGTTATACGTTTAAAGTTCCACAACTGAAAAATGCAGTCCTAGAGGAAATGAGAGTTAGGTGAAGAATGAGTGGATACTTGTACGTTTACCAAAAGGGAGAATTCAATAGCTGTGAGTCAATATTCACTTTAAAAGACTAGTTTGAGAAACAACTGAAAGGTATAAAGCTAGGCTCATGATAGTAATGATTACAAGATCATTTTTATTGTAGTAAAAATAAATATAATCACATTACTCTCCTCTAGCAGCAAACCTAGAATTGTTACACTATTATTTAGTTGTTCAAAATGCACATTGAGCTTAGATAAGAGCTCGACGTGAACTTATCACGTAGAAAAGGGTTGCTGTTCAAGAAATGTGATCAGTCATTGACAATACAAGGTCAACTTCTGGTTTATAAACATTTATTGGAGATACTAATGACTTGCCAAAGAAAGATAAAAGTCGGTTGTTGTTAGTAGTGCTAAGACAGAATTTACAGTCATTGCTCAAGGCATATACAAACTACTATGGTTGAAGAAGCTCCTTGAAGAGCTAAAGGTGAGTTTTGATAATCCCGAGAGGTTGTCCATCAATATTGCTCATAATCAATTACAACACAACACTAAACATATTGAGCTGGATTGAAATTTTACTACAGCGAAGCCTGGAAAGGGGCTAATCTTGTATGTCATTCATCCAAACAGTGAAGCAACTGCACAACTAGTCGATATTCTTAATAACGGTCTGCATAAGTTAGTATTTGAACAGTTGATAAACAAGCTACAATAGTTGATATCTTGAAACCAACTTCTGGGGTAGTGTCGAAGTTACATTTGTGTGTTAAGATAAGGAGGAGTATGGAAGTTCAATTATATTATGTAACGACCCAACCTTTGTGCCCATGACATTAACTCATTACATATTGTCCGTTTTTGAAGGACCTCTGCCGATGTGCCCAATTGGTAACATGCTTAAATCTCTCATAAGACAAAGGTCAAGGGTTCAATTTCTAGAGGACGTGAGATAAATCCGTGAGATATAAAATGGGCACATGCTCTCCCAAAGTATAAGTTAAAGGCTTGGGCACAGAAGCCCGGGCCATTATATATTAGGATTGTGATATAATAACTGATCCGAATCATTCTGTATTTGGATTTCAGATTACTTGTTTCTTTAGCATTCCTGATAAGTGAAATCTCACTTTTCCTATACTTGATTTCAACATGAATAATTTAGAATCAGAATGAAGTTACCTTTGCAACTGCCTTAGGAGGGTACTCTCCATTTAGTCTAGCATCAACACACTGCTTCACCTTATCTTCACTGAGCTTTGGTGTTGCCTGATTCCATTTTTCATTTAAATCAATCGTTATGGGAAACAATACAATAGTGAACATTCTATATAGATCTTTGCTAAATAAATGATTGCTAGCCACAACAAAGAATGGAATACCCATGTCACGAGACTCTGCTGTCCCCTGGGCAATGTATGATCAACAGGCTTACGGCCAGTCAAGAGTTCTAGAAGTACCACACCGAAGCTGTAAACATCACTCTTTGAACTTAACTGGCCAGTCATTGCATACCTACCAACCAGAATCAAACATTTTAGGCTCGTGGGAAGAAATAATCTGAGAGTCGAAATGTTAAACGGACTTCTAAGTAAATAAGTTATTATCGTTAAAATCTAATTTTAAGTTGTCTTCATTGCTATAGAAAATTCAGAAAACAGCATACTCAGGGGCATGATAACCAAAAGTCCCAAGAACACGGGTAGAATGAAGACGAGCTGCCGCATCAGGGGCTTGATTTGACAAATCAAAGTCGGCAATCTTGGCAACATCATCATCAAACAGCAAAACATTGCTGGACTTAATGTCACGATGGATGATGTGAGGAGTTGCCTTTTCATGCAAGAATTCTAGTCCTTTTGCAGCACCCACGGCAATCTTAACTCTTTGAGCCCATGTCAGCACAGGACCTGGTTGTGCACCTTTGACACCTTTTCGTCCTTCATTAAGAAATCAAAAAATTATTTGTATGACAAAGAAGATAAAAAGTACCTGCACTCAGAATTGAATATCGTAAGAGCTCAATACTTGACCCATTAAAATAAGAACCTTCTATGTGCAAAGCCAACTAGATGAAAGTAAAGTTGTTAATATAAATTGTGGCAATATCCATTTTGGGCTATAATTTAAGGATAACGGTCTGAGGATCACATGATGTGCACGCACACAGAGAAACAACTTCAAAACACCAACAAATTACTCATAATCACTACAAAAGAGTTATGCAGTATAGATTATATCAAAAAATATTTTATTTTTGGCAATGGCAAGAAGTGATGTCACCAAAATAATCTGAAGTGGCTGACCATGAAGAATGTCATGTAGAGATCCGTTTGCAGCATACTCATAAGCCAGGACACGAAGACCGCCATCCACACAGTAACCAAGTAGCTCAACCGCATTTTCATTCTTTAGTCTTGAAACAATAGAAACCTGCAAGACCATGCATTAAGTAATAAAGTCTTACAATGGAAACATATGAGACATGGAGCTTATACATGGCACACTTTGATTAGCTTAACCTGTGCTAAAAATTCTTGGTCTGGCTGCTTGCTGGAGTCTAATTTTTTAATTGCAGCAGCATGTCCACTTCTCAAGACTCCATAGTATACCCTTCCATATGATCCCTCGCCGATCAAAGACTTTGAACCAAAATTATCTGTGATGTCCCTCAATTCATCAACTGGAATGCTAGGGACAGCAATCGGCAGGACAGTAATAGTCTGTTTGTCCTTTTGTGCTGTTTCTGTGGCATGATAACCCGCATGGTTGCCTACAGAACAACCTTGGTTAAGTTCCATTATGATAAAATCAGAAGCCTGTAGAGATCTTTTTTTTTCCTTTCTTAGAAAAAAAAAACTTCATTATGAATGATGAAGACGGCCAGTCATTAAAGGGGCAAAATGGTGGTATTTAAAAGAAAATATGAAATGAATGTGACTTTTTATGACCAATTTAACAGAAAACTGTGAAATAGTAGAAAAGATGGTATTTTCTTCTTCTCTCCTTTCGGAAGCTTGCATGTGCAATGAAGCATTAGGTGATAAACCAAAAGATTGAAAAATTGCTAGTCTTATTCAGCCCCTTTTAATCTAAGCCCTTGTTTGAGCTCCATTTTTTGGGGTTAATAGATTTTGGAATAGTGATTTTTTGGAGGATGTGTGGTTAAAAAGTAAGGAAAAGTTTTGGGTTCACTTGGAGAATATTTTATCGTATGAATGTATGGATGAAAATGAGTTTAGATAAAAACAAAAAAAAAGAGTTTTGGGAAAATGGGGATCAAACAAGGGCTAAACTTGGTTTGTACAGGAAACATCTGTTTATAATGAAGTGTCCACAAGTAAACTCAAGAAAAGTAGTCCACTAGAGTCCAATGAAGAAATTTTATCCCATTTAAGAATGGAAATTGGTAATTTATAATAACTAAAGACAACACGAGTATAAACCTCACCAGCTGAGTGATTTGTCATGTAAGGTCCATTATCAGCAGCCTTTTGCATGTAATCGTCCTCACAACAACCAAAGCAACCCATGGTTTTTATTCTCCGCAAAAGATCTGGAGAAAAAGCCATTAGAAGCCAAAGAGAAATACAGTTGCCTCCATGAAATTTCAGCAGCAACAATAGATTAATGTGAGGGAGAGCCAAGTAGGTTATGTGGCAAAGGGGAAGCAAATATGTTAAGAAACGCCCAAGTTTTGCCAATTGCTTAAATAGTCTTTCATTGCGGAGTATGTGTTTAGCGTTGATCCTCAGTATAATATGTAAGCATAAAGAGCTTCAATAACACAAATTGGACTCAAGCCAACAAGGCAACAAACTGTGTGCCAAACATATGTTAAAATTGCAACGGACAAATTGTACAAAACTACCAAAAAAACTCAATGCACTTCAATAAGGAAAACATAGATAAAATGATTGAATCACAAAGAAACTTCCCCAAGGCATTTCATTGACAACAGAATTTTCGGCTTTAGTTATAATTCCATTCATCTTTCACCTGTCTGGATTAGTGTAATATAAGGAGAAGATTTCTTTGCCACAAAGGACATATTAACAGATGCAATTTGCAGCTTACCAACTTTTTCAAACAAATGACACCAAATCAAACGAAGTATCTGTTGGTTTAATGTTCAGGTTTCTCAGCCCCCTAGAATGACAAATATCAACTTTGCACTGAGTCAAACTTGGTAAATTGAAGTTGAGCCGACTCTAGACTCTAGTACGAAATCAGCACATTTTTTTTCCATTTATAGCAAATAAATCAAATTTAGGAGGAACTCCATGAAGCAGACAATCATCAGAAAAATACAATAACAGGATATTATTACCATAACCAGTCTAAATGAGAATCTACTTGATCCACCAGAATCCATGAATTATTACACAATAAGATTAATATAAGGGAAGTAGATAATCCCACAAACACCAAGAAGTCGCATAAAAAAGCGATTCCCAGAAGACAAGCAGAAATCAAGAAACCAAATTTTCAACAGAAAAAATCCATCTATCAAGGAGGAAAAGCCTCAGTCTTTCGCACCGAATTATCCTATAAAGACACAAACGAGAAAACCATAACAAAAAATGATGAAATAAACAAAGCAAACAGAAAAAGAATCCAGAAATTTCAAAACGGCAGTTAGATTGTTGGCCTAAAAACAAATAAATCTAAGAAAAAAAGCAAGAACTAAGATTGATCTGCAATTCTGGGCAAGAAACGTTGTGACCTTATTTCTTGTGTATAAATATGCGACTGTTGTAGATGCTTGAAAACCCCTAGTCTTTTATTAAAGCAGCAACTGATCCTTTGCGAGGAATAGGATGAATATAGGCGGGGTGTGAAGAGCAAAGATTGACCAAACGCGTGGGCTTAGACTAGTTATTGCCATTCAAAATGACGAGAATTTACAAGTTGTGTCTAGTTGCAGTGTCTCTTTCGTTTTGACCAGTAAGCAGCTGTACCGGGTTGTCAATGCTTCTTTAAATCTCTCTCTCTCTCTCTCTCTCTCTCTCTCTCTCACATAATAGGGAAAATTGCATTGCCGGTCTCCTATTTTCCTAAAGGAATAAGTTGGTCTTTAGCATTTTGTTATAGTCGAATAACCGGTGCATGACCATCTAAATGGCCATGGCCATATATTATCGTGTAGCTTTCTTGAAATCATATCTCACTATAAATTTGTAGACACAATCCAAGTTGAGAAGAGTTTTATGAAAATTGACATAAATGACCAAAAATAAGTTGCTTCAACTAGAAAACTCATAATCAAAAATCATAAAATTAGGACCCGCTAAAATAATTTAAAAATCATCCATTTCCACCTCAAAGTTGAAATCGGCCAATTTTTTTGGTAAAACTTTGCAGCTAAAATTGTCCAGTTCAAACCAAAATTTAATATTTTTTTATTTATTTAATATTTATAATCACTTATTCAACTTCTCTTGATACTTTTGCTCTTATACATGTACTCCAAAACTAATTTTCAAAATGCTGATTGACACAACAAAACCCTCCTTACACTACGCCAAAAATGAGCTTTCGCAACACATAAAAGGCAACTGTTGACACACTAAAAGTACAACCCAAATTGAATAGCCCAAAGAGTGAAGTCCAATTGGAGAGTCCAAGATAAAAGCCCAAATGAGATTATTGGTAAGTGCAGAGAAAGCCCACGAATACAGTAACATCATTGCCCAGCCTGCAAGACGCTCGGAGTTTGGACAAATGGAGTGTCTCAACCTCGTTTTCGTTCGAACCTTCGAGTCGTCCAGAATCTTAATACATGAGATATTATGGTCATCCAGAAATAGCAGTTACTGAAACAATTATCTGATTTAAGGAGCCCAATTGAAGGCAGTTGAATGACAAAGAGTAATGACAGCAGTTAGATATGGCAGTTTCACGACAAATTAGCCACCATGAAGAAATGGGTAGCAGTTTCCAAGCAGTTTGTCACGAAGAAATCATCATGAGAATATAAAAGGAAAGAATAGACATAGAAAAGAGGACCCCGAATCAAATACTCTCAAATAGAGAATATATAATTTCATTTTTTTAGATTAACTTTACTTATCATTTTTCCAGTGCTCGTGTGCTTGCGTTCCTTAGAGACATTCTGTTTATTTCCAATTATAACCCTCATCAATAAAGCACCATTTTTTGGACTTTGTCTCAAGAGGTTTGTCCCTTAAACAATCGTCTGAATTTCTTTTTTAATTTTTAGCGACTACCCGCGCGAAACAATTTGGCACGCCCAGTGGGACATTGGTGTTTAATGTTGAAGATACAAAAGTGAAGTATTATGCCTCATAAACATTCTGATAAGGAACCAGCAAGTCAAGGACTAGTCCAGTCTGTAATCGAGCGATATGAGGAGCAGCAAAACTCTCCACGAACAGAGGGACAAAGTCAAAGCAGTCATAGTCGTTACGAACCAATGACAAGTTGAGTCCTCGAACCATGTGTGCATTACTCGGCGAACTCACACAGGATGTCGTTGAATGGGTAAATTTATGAAATGTTCATAATATGGAAAGATTTACCCAAAGCGAGAATGCACATTATGATAATATGACCAAACAACTGAATACATTAAATGAGATAATGAACAAGTTAATAGGCCAAATATGTCAGCCAGTTATGCCTGTTGCAAACTACTTTCAAATCAGGACAACTGTAGGACTTAATTCCCTACATAATTCTTCTGGTTTGAACTTAAATCAAGGACTAGAACCGTCCTTTGGTCCATCTACTTCAAACCAGGGGGGTAGTGGGATGCCAGACTCGAATGGTGGTAATGGGATTAATAACCTCGGAGGTAATTCAATTATAAGAGATAATGTCATGAACGATAGACAGAACGCCCCGCGTATTAATGATGATTTAAACACTCGGTTTAATGGTAATAACGGCCCAAACAATGGCAATTTTGTTGCCAACCAAGGGCCAAATGTTAGGTTTCAAGAGAATCAACCATTAAACCAACCCGTAGGAATTCCATGTGATCGCAATGTCATGTTGAGGAATCAAATCATGGAGATAGTGCAAGATTAAATGGCTCGTGGGGTACGTCCTGTCATCAGGCCTACTTATATGAAGCCATATTCTGATTGGGTAGATCAAACATATCCATGGCCTAGAAGGTACAAAGTGCTAGAATTTTCATTATCCACTGATTTAGGGGAAGTATCTACTCTAGAACACATAGAGCGATTCACACTGTAGAGTGGTGAAGTAAATGACTACCATAAAATGAGGTTGTTCCCTAGTTCATTAATAGAAGTAGCCTTCTCCTAGTTCATTAACTTGTCAGCAAACTCTGTTCAAACATGGCAATAATTGGAACAATTGTTTCATGCTCAGTTTTACAAGACTGAATCGGAAGTTACTTTGGCCGATTTGGCGAATCTACGTCAAATGCTAAATGAATGGGCGGAAGGTTTCCTTCAAAGATTCAAAACATTAAAAAGTAAGTGTTTTGTACCTCTTCCCGAAAAGGAATTCGTCAAAATCGCTCAAAGCTGTCTAAGGTTCAATCTAAAAAAGAAATTCCATGATAGGGAATTTCCAGATCTTTTCCAATTGAACGCAAACGTGATTAGGTATGAACGATTAAAAAGAGAAGAAGAACAAATGAAAAATTCTACCAAGGGGACTTATTATAGAGACCCAAATTTTGATGTTCATCCCATTAATGACGAATATTTCGACCAAAACAAAATATATTTGGCCGAACTAATCAAAGGAGATACATATATTTGTTCTATAATGGCTAAGCCTAGAAATCGGGCAAAGATGAGCCNAATTAAGGGTAAAAAATATTATAAGTTGCATAATGTATGGTCACATTTGACTAACAACTTTTTGGTTTTTCGTCATGCGTTACAGGATGCCATCGAATCAGGACGAACTACGTTCGAAGATAAGAAGAAGATGGCAGTGGATGAGAACCCTTTCCCACAACAACTTGGAATAAATATGGTAACAACTGGTTTTAAAAACAAATTGTCAAAATTCAAATTGGTCATAGATGACGGAGAAGAAGACTCTGAGCCACTCCCCAGTGTCTTCGAACACATCAAAGGGAAGGAACCCAAACAGGATGAAAACGTCCTATGTGCAAAATGTAAAGGAGAAGTAAGTGCGAAAACAGGGAGCTCAGGAGCAGGGCATCGTCACTCTCGTCCTGATTTTGTTCCAGACGCGCAGCAAGTTAAAGGGCGAGGTACGTTATTCTGTAGATGACGCCTTTTGAGAGGCAGTTCAGGCCAACGAATAATGTGAGGACATTTAGGCCGCAATCTCGCCAACCAAATGTATGGCATTCATTCCAGTATAATGCAGGAAGGGTGACATCCTTCAACGAGATGACTAGAACCCAACAAAAGCGTTTTCAATAGAATTATGGACGAATGATGAGGCAACAACGGGGATTAACACGTCTGAAGGCACCTAAGATACTTGAGGTGGCCAATCAAAATGTCCTCGGAGACAGTGAAGAGACTAGTACAGGTGAATCGATCGGAGAACTGCCAGAAAGTTCTTCTGGGAGGTCGAAATTTGAGCGAGATAGAAGGGATGAAGAAGATTCAGATCAACCCCTTACTATTCAGTTAAAGAAGATCCAGATCAACCCCTTACTATTTAGGTTGGTACGTTACCTCCCGTCATGGCTAATAATTATTTACTAGCCAACGAATTCAAGAACAAAGAGGATAACGAAGAAGAAGCGTGTGTCTTGGAATGTGAAAAAGGCCAAACTTCCGGAGGGGCCTACAATGATGAAGAAGATGATGGCATGACAGACATCGAAGAAGAAATTGATCTGGAGGCAGAAAGAAGAAAGTGAGGAGTATCGCGTAATACTCTGTTAAAGCAACTACATCGAGAGGGAATTCGTGAAGTAGACTTGTTGGGGGAACCATTTGGGCATTCTTTTGATTATTATGTGCTGTACGAGATCACTTCCAAGAATATTGCCCCCTCCCACAGGTTAGGTAATTGAAAAG